GCCAAACCTCCTTTCAGAGGTATCCATGTCACCAGTTCCTGAATCTTTTGAAGATCCTGTAGTGTAAATAGAAGTTGTTCTCTCTTACTTTGCTCACTGTTAGTCTGTGATCCTTGGGTCTGTGTAATCAGCTAATTCTCTTCCATCTGCTTTTTCAATTTTATTTGCTGTCTCCTTTCTTTCTCTTCCTGTGGTCATTTCTTCTGCCTTCCCACTCCATAAGTCCTCATATGCATCCTCACCTTGATCAAGGTGTTAGACATTTATGTTGGGATACTTCTGGTGACAGATTGTCACCTGAGGGGCACATGACACCTTTCTAATTGTCCCCATTCCATTCTTTAAGTTTTCTTATTACTGGCAGCATGAAACAATAGAGTCTACTTCCAGAAATTAGTATTCTTGGACTTCTTGGTCTTAGTTTTGCAAAGTCACATATTAGGAACCATTGTTTCAGGTACTGGTTTTCCTTCTTATGGAAGAGTTATTTTGCTCCATTTTTTTTTCTAAATTGTATTTTCTACTTAAAGTAAGAAGTTTTTGTGACTGAAGTCGCATTGAAATAGCGTAGCGTATGCACATTTCTCAGTCTCTCTGTCTCTCTCCCCTCCTCTCCCTCTCCCTGTCTCCAGTACTAGTGATTAAACTCCATACTATGCTACATCAGCAGCTCTTATTTATTTATTTATTTATTTATTTATTTATTTATTTTGAAACAGCATCTTGTTAAATTACCAAGGCTGGGCTTGAACTTGTGATTCTCTTCCTTCAGCCCTCCAGAGTGCTGGGATTACAGGCTTTTGCATTACCATGACCAGCTTTACTTCTCTTTAAACTTTGTTTCATCATGGAAATACTTTCTCTGTGAATCATGTCTTCCCAGTTCTTCACCAAGGTTTACTTATGAGACTCTTGTAGGTCTTGAAGTTAGAGTGATTAATTAAAATTCATTTTGATTATTTACCTTCTCAATTTGCTGTAGTGGTAAATATATATGATCAAAAGTATCATTAATTTCTGCAGTTGTCTTTTAAATCAGATGAAAAAAGTATTACAGAGAAAGGTACATTTATATTATATTGTCTTTTATGTTTACCTCCCATACATACTTTACTGCTCCTTTTTATTTTTTCATGTGGATTTGGGTTATTGTCTAGCATCCTTTCGTTTGAGCCTACCTGTTCATTTCGTCCTCCCTTCGCACTAAACCTCTGACAAATACTGATCTTGTTACTGCGTCTATAGCTTTGCTGCTTTCTTCAGAATGTCATGTAGTTGGAATCATGCAGTATGTAATCTTTTCAGGGTGGCCCCTTTCACTTATAGCAAGATGTGCTCAAAATCCCTCCATGTCTTTTGTGACTTAACAGCCCATTTCCTTTGATCATTGAATAATATCCTACTGTGTGAACGTGCCACAATTTGTTTATCCATTCACCCACTGAAGGGCATCTTGGATGCATCAAAAACTTGGCAGTTATGAATAAAGTTGCTGTAAACTTTCGTATGCTTGTTATTGTATGGACATACACTTTCATCTCTCTTGGGTAAAAAAAACCAGGAATATGATTACTCAGTGGAATGGTTAGTCTACTTTTAGCTTTGTAAGAAACTGCCAAAGTGGCCATACTGTTTCGCATACATGCACCCCTTTGAGCTGCTTGGTTGTACAGATGAGTTTCTAAGAGTCATCCTTAGGGAATTTAAGCATTGTTGAACTTTCTGCCCTCTCTTCTCTCTCTCTGCTTTCCTTCTGGGACTTCTGTTGCCCACTTGTTGATATGCTTGATGGCTCTCACAGGTCTCTGGGGCACCTTATTTTTCAGAATTCTTTTTCTGCCTCCAGTTGGATTGTCTCGATTGGCCTATCCTCAGCGTCATTGATTCTTCTGTCAGTTCAAACCTGCTGTCAATACCTCTCATCAGTTTTTCAATTCAGTTATGACTTTTCAGTTCTGGCCTTCTGCTGGTTCTTTTTTATAATCTTTCTTTACTGAATTTCTCAGTTTGGTTAGATATCATTGTTTGCATTTTGTTTGATTCTTTAGTTCTTTGAATATGTGTCTAATAGTTTATTTAAAGTGCTTGTTAACCTCAATACCTAGGCTTCTATGGATGGTTCTATTGACTACTTTTTTCTCTGATATTGGGACAGACTTTTGTACTGCTTTGTATGACCTGTAATATTTTTTTTTTGTTGAAATGGATATTTTATAATATATCAACTCTGGAAAATAGACTTCTACCCCTGCCCTGCCTAGGGCTGCTTGGTGCTATTTATTTGTTTCGTGGCTTTCTTGTATTAATTTTTCTAATTCGATACTATTTTTTTGTTTGCTTGATGTTTGCAATGCTGGGAATTGAACGCAGGGCTTCACATATGTTAAGCAAGCACTGATTGAGCTATATCCCTAGCTTTTAAAATTTCATTTTAAGAGCTGAGTATAGTGGCACACGCCTTTAATCCCAGCACTTGGGAAGCTGAGCCAGGAGGATCACCACAAGTTCAAGGCCAGCCTGGGCTACACAGTGAGTGCAAGGCCAGCCTGCACCACACAGTGAGGCCCTGTCTCAAAAACAAAACTAAATAAATACATCAATCAATTTTCATTTTGAGACAAAGTCTCCCTAGGTTCCCAGGCTGGCCTCTGACTGGAGACCCTTCTGCCTCAGTCTCCCAAGTAGCTGGGTTAGAGACGCGCAGCCCTGTGCCCGGCCATGTCTGTTTCTTTCTCTTATTTTTTTTTGTTAAATTCTTTTATTGGTACATTGTAGGTATACAGCACAGTTACATTTCTCACTGGGAATTGTACCTTTACATGATGCATCTTGGTTCTTATTTTTTCCCCATTCCTAGCCCTCCCTTCACCCCCTCCACCCTTCCCTATTTACAAAGACTTTATTTCCATTTTTTCCATTTCTCATCATTTTTCCTTTCCCTTCTTTCCTTTCCCCTGCCCCTCCCACTACCCCTACCCCTTTGGACCTTTTCTTCCTATTTTGCATTATCGATTATTCATTCTAATCATTGGTACATTTTAGGTATACAATATAATGACATTCATCAGTGGAAATCTGCACCTTTACATAGTCTCTCTTGGTTCTTGTTTTTCACCCTTGCCCAGCCCTCCCTTCAACCCCTCCATTCCTCCCTATTTACAAAAATTTTGTTCCAATTTTTCCATTTTCTCACATTAATCCCATTCCCTTCTATCCTTTCCCTTAGCCCTCCCACTTCCTTCCCCTTTGCCCCTTTTCTTCCTATTTCACATTACCTATTATACATTTAGTCCTTATTTACACTTTCAGTTTCTCATACCAGAGAAACTATTCGATATTTATACATGTGTGTTCTATTTATTTCACATAAGAGTATCGCCTCAATGTGCATCCACTTAGCTATAAATGTCTCTAATTTCTCATTTTTTATGGCTGAGTAGTACTCCATTTTATAAAAAAACCACATTTTCTTTATCCAGTCTCCAGTTGATGGGCATTTGGGCTGTTTCCAAGTTTTAGCTATTACAAACTGCGCTGCTATGAACATGGGTGCACATATATCACTGTGGTATGATTCTTTTAATTCTTTGGGGAAGATCCCCAGCAGTAGAATAGCGTGGTCAAATGGGATTTCCAGTCCTAGTTCTTTGAGGTGTCTCCATACTGATTTCCACAGTGGTTGCACCAGTCTACACTCCCACCAGCAGTGGAGCAGGGTTCCTCTTTCCCCACAGCCCTGCCACCATTTCTTATTGGTTGATTTCATGATAGCAGCCATTCTTTCTGGAGTGAAGTGGAATCTCAGCGTTGTTTTCATTTGCATCTCTCGAATTACCAGTGACGTTGAACATTTTTTCATGTATTTATTTGCTATTTCTACTTCTTTGTCTGAGAAATGTCTGTTCATTTCAGATGCCCATTTTTGGATTGGGTCTTTAAATTTGGGAGGTCTGATCTTTTTAAGTTCTTTATAGATCTAGATAGTAGACCTTTGTCTGAGGGAGAGCAGGTGAAGATTTTTTCCCACATTGTGGGTTGTCTCTTCACACTGCTGGTGGTTTCTCTTGCTGTGCAGAAGCCTTTTAATAAGAAGCGATCCCACTTATTGATTGTTTGTGCTAGTTCACGGGCAACTGAGGTTTTGTTCATAAAATCTTTTCCTACACCGATGTCATCAAGGGTTCTACCTAACCTCTGTGCCAACTGGTTCAGAGTTTCTATTTTAATATTTAGATCTTTAATCCATTTTGATTTTAGTTTAGTGCATGGTGAGAGATATAGGTCTAGTTTTAATCTTTGGCAAGTTGAAGCCCAATTTTTCCAGCACCATTTATTAAAGATAGCCATGTTTGTTTCTGAGGCCATTCAAGTCTCTGCTCCCTCAGCTTTAAGGTTTGCTGGTGACTGAACAGAGATTTCTGCAAATTCCTGGAACTAATAAGGGGAGGGGATTATGTAAGGGTGTGTTGTTGTTTAATGTTTTGATACTTTAGTAGTGAAAATTCTTAAGTATTTTAGCAGAATTGTTTGCTTTTTAATCAAGATTTGAGGTGAAGTAGTGGTCAAGATGAGGGAAATGAGATGAGCAGCTTTTTCATTTGGGCACACATTTTGGAAAATGTTCCTAGGGTTTCCTTTTAAAAAGCTTAACCTATGACTGGGGATATAGCTTAGTGGTAGAGCACTTGCCTAGTATGCTAGAGGCCCTGAGTCCAATCCTTAGCACAACACACACACACACACCACACAAAGCTTACCTTGAATTTCATGGTCTTTCAGACTTTTAGCAATCCACGAAGATAGCATCAGAAAAAAAGAAGAAATAAAATTGTACAGAAGGAAATTTTAAAAGAGATAAATTGGCCAGCCATAATTTTGAGCAAAAAAAAAAAAAGTAAACATTTAGGAGTAGTTCACCAGCATGGTTTGGGTGTGTGGATACTACAAGTGTGTGTGTGTGTGTTCTTATCCCATCACACATTTGTCTTTTCATCTCACAGATTGAAAGCATCATGGGACATGTTACCATTGCTGGATGCCTGGGAACTTTAAGAAACTTGGTGGTATGAGAGGCATTCTGGACAGCTGCGGGATGTTACCTGGACCCAGAGCGCTAACTGACCCAGACTCTCTTTAATTCTCAATGGTAAAAAGTCTAGATACTTTCTTTACATTAGTCTCTACTAGCAATGGCCAATTATTTATTTTTAGTTATTATTAATATTGATAGTTTATTTTCTAAAGAAATCTTTAAAAGTATCAGAGTTAATTCTGGTATTAAAGTCTTGTTTCAAATCTTTATATATCTGGTACAGATAAAATGAGTGGTATTTGACCTTGTTTTAGAGCAGCATCTATTAGTTATACAAGTAATTGCCAAGTCACAAAGATTGTTTAAGGCATACAACAATATTTGAATTTTTATAAGTATTTTACATACTAAAAGTTGGTTGGGGTCCTGGAATTTAAATATAGACAAAAGGTCTGTCATAAATTATATTTATAAATTTATTTTATAAATTATTTATTTATAAATATTTTATTTTATAAAGTTTTGATAATTTTTTCAAGGGCTTAATTCTTAGAATTTGTTATAACCAAAATAGGAAGAGCAAGGTTATATTTTTTGAACTGTGGATGTCTTGTTCCTATAGCACCTGACATGGAGCTAACCCCACATGTGGGGTCTGCCCAACACAGCCTCACATCTGGGCAGCTTCTACTGAGCCCTTTTGCTCGTTTGTAGTTGAGTTGCCCTTTCTTCAAGGTTTCTTAGAAGTCATGACCATTTCTAAGTCTGCCCCTCATCACCATCTTACATGACTGCCAAGCAGGATGGATCTAATTCTTCACATCTTCATGGATGTTGCTGACACCAGCGGGTTCCTCCATGGCAGGAGGAACTTAGATGGGTAACAATTTTAAGACAAGGGGCATTCTTGAAGTTGGCATAGTATAAAAAACTCACCAAATGTGGCCAGTTCAATAATTATAGCCTGGCTCTGTATGTTTTTGCACTTCAGTATACCTGAAAAGGCAAGTGTTTGCTGTAAGATATCTTAGGACATCTTTGTACTAGGATTTGGTGATTGTTTCTCCTGATCTCCAACTATGGCTTTAATACTAGAGTTTCCTGTAAAACTACCTACCTCCTTTCCCCTGATTAATCCACTTTGTTTTTGTTATCTGGCCTCATAGCAAAAAAGACAGATCTTGAGGCTGACAATCTACTGTGAAAGATTGTATTTACATATATATATAATTTTTCTTTTTCTTTCAGAGCCATTCTGCCTTTCAAGATGCCTTTTTACATCTGACAAATCCAGACTGGCAACTCTTCAGGCTCTGACAGAAGAAAGACTGGAGGGAAAATCATTGGGGTTTGCAGTCTAGAAGATTGCCTTTAATGAGGAAGAGTTTCTGATTATCATTTGAAATGCTGAGGAATTTGTTACGAAGGAGACTTTTTTCTTATCCCACTAAATACTACTTTATGGTTCTTGTTTTATCCCTAGTTACATTCACTGTCTTAAGAATTCATCAGAAGCTTGAATTTGTAAGCCTCAGACACTTGGAACTTGATGGAGAAAATCTTAGTAATAATATTAATTGCACCAAAATTTTACAGGGTGATGCAGATGAAATCCAGAAGGTGAAGCTTGAAATGCTAACAGCAAAATTTAGAAAACGCCCTCGGTGGACACCATCTGACTATATCAACATGACCAGTGACTGTACCTCTTTCATCAAGATGCGCAAATACATCATGGAACCCCTTGGTAAAGAGGAGGCAGGCTTCCCAATTGCATATTCCATAGTGGTTCATCATAAAATTGAAATGCTTGACAGGCTCCTAAGGGCCATTTATATGCCTCAGAATTTCTACTGCATCCATGTGGACAGAAAATCAGAGGACTCTTTTATAGCTGCAGTGAAGGGCATTGCATCCTGTTTCAGGAATGTCTTTGTGGCCAGTCAGCTGGAGAGTGTGGTCTATGCTTCGTGGAGTCGAGTTCAGGCTGACCTCAACTGCATGAAGGACCTCTACAGAAGGAGCACAGAGTGGAAGTACTTGATCAATCTTTGTGGGATGGATTTTCCTATTAAAACCAACCTGGAAATTGTCAGGAAGCTCAAGTCGTTCATGGGTGAAAACAACCTGGAAACAGAGAAGATGCCATCTCATAAAGCAGAAAGGTGGAAAAAACATTATGAAATCATCGATGGAAGGCTAATGGACACCAGGAACCCCAAAACACAGCCTCCTCTCAAAACACCTCTTTTCTCAGGCAGTGCCTATTTTGTGGTCAGTAGGGAGTATGTGGGCTACGTGCTAGAAAATGAAGACATCCAGAAGTTCATGGAGTGGGCGAAAGACACGTACAGCCCAGATGAGTATCTCTGGGCCACCATCCAAAGGATCCCCGAGGCCCCGGGCTCTCTACCCTTGAGCCACAAGTATGACCTGTCTGACATGCAGGCTGTTGCCAGGTTTGTCAAGTGGCAATACTTTGAAGGTGATGTTAACAAGGGCGCACCCTATCCACCCTGTGATGGTGTCCATGTGCGCAGCGTGTGTGTTTTTGGAGCTGGTGACTTAACCTCGATGTTACGCAAACACCACTTTTTTGCCAATAAGTTCGATGTTGATGTCGATGTCTTTGCCATCCAGTGTTTGGATGAGCATCTGAGGCATAAAGCCCTGGAGATGTTAGAACGCTGACCACTGCAGGTAATCCAAGGAGTGACAAGGATGCACAAATGGTACCCCTGACTGTCTCCTTGGCCCTGCAGGAAGCATCAGAACTTTACGGAGTCCTCTCTGGGGTGAGGACTCAAGACTTCATGATTTCTGCAGGGCACAATCAGTTAGAGAGGTGTCAATGATAAATGTTCATCCATGGTCAGTGGGAGGAAGCAGTTAAGGTGACTGAGAGCCCAAGGGAGGTAGCAAGATATTGGGGAGAGAGGGAACAGGCTGGCTGGAGAAGAAGACCATGTGGAAATCAGCCTCAGGGACTGTTACAAAGCTCAGGGATTTAACATAGTGAGAAGTTTTGACTTGTGCCAAAATTATTTTGAGAATTTAAAATACAACAGTTTTCATGATCTGAATAAATTTATAGCAACAAACCATCATAAGGGTGTTATTTTTCTCATATATTTGATTTTATTCTAAATGACTCTTGTAAATACCTTCTGCTGTGTCATTGTGTTAGTATGGCTGTATATCATCTCAGGGAACTTAGTGTTATTTAACATGTATTCTCTCTTATTTTTGCTTATAACAATGCATGTATGTTTTCAAAAGCAAAAGAATTGACAGTTTCTAGCCTAGTTGATTTATATGAATCATCTTTGGATATTAAAGATGCAAAGAATCATCTGGGTGCAGTGGCTTGTACCTGTAGTTCCAGCTACTCAAGAGGCTGAGGCGGGAGGATTGTTTGAGCTGTGAAGACTGAATTACGTCCCCAGAGCCCCTTTTAAAATTTTGTTTTTTGAGAAAGGATCTTGTTCAATTGCCCAGTCTGGGTTTAAATTTATAATCCCCCCACTTGGCTCTCCCAAAGTAGGGATTACATGGGCCACTAGGCCCACCTCAAGTTACCTTTTTTGTTGTTGTTTCTACAAAGAGTAGCACTCAATTTTTTCAGATATTACTTTCTATATCCTTTCCCTTCACCTCTCAGACCTTGCTATCAAGTTGTATAACAATTCACTTCTTTAGGCCCCTCTTTCACTGTCTTGGTTCTCTGAGGTGAGCCAGCGGCCAGTAATTCATACAGAGAACTTAGAAAGGGTGAGGCAGGTCTGGGGTGACCGCTGCTGAGGCGCATGAGAAGTTTTTTTTACGACTAGCAGTTGGCAGTGTCCCCAGAAATTAATACTTCTACTCAGTGGGGCCCTGGTGTCCAGCCACCAATGGGGGTGCTGCCTAGTGATGAGAGTACCTTTGTTTGAAAGGACCTGGCTCTCACCTTGTCTGCCCATTGGTTGTTCCTTAGCCTATTGTAAATTTCTTCCTGTCAGGGGACTTTGTTTCAGACGGGTTCTTCCACTGTTGATATTATTCACTCTGTATGGTTCTTATTCTCTGCATTTTCATCCAAAGACAGAAGATTTGGGGTTAGTATAGTGCTGACTTCCATCTCAAAGTAAATGAAGGTTACAAAAATTTCTTATTATTTTGCTAGGTCCATACTGTCCAGCCAAAGATCTAATAGGAATGATGAAGCCTTGTCTTTTAGCATTCGACTTTAAACAGGAATCAAACCTGTGAAACTTTATTTTAAAAATCCAGCCAACTTAAGCAGCCCATGAGAAATTCATATCAAACAGTATTAAGGCTTCAATTGAGAAAGTATTTTTATTTCTCAAAGTTAGAAACAATTTCCATCTTCTTGAGAGATGTCTTTTTAAAAACCTTTACTGTCGTTCGTAAAGGTGGGATAAACTGTTTTGTGTGATGAGTGAGGAAGCCAGTGATGAGCCACAGGAAAATGTCTTGGCAAACTCCAGGTGAGGTTGGTGAGGGCAGTGCCTGCATTGTGGTCTGGCCACTGGCTTTTAAAACAAAGTTTCCTTTTAGTGCCTGTTCAATAGTTCTCCCATTTTTCCTTTAATAGAAAAGTTTTTACCTCTATGTTTTTTACCTCTAAATTTACCTCTAAGTTTCTACCTCTAATCTCTGTGATAGAGATTTTTTTCTCCCTGAAATCAGTGCTGTTTGATAACATGTACTTTGTGCATATGACATAACAGTTTTTTCATTTTTTATTTTGAAAATTTGCAAAAAAACAGTAATACAGTGAACACACCTTTGCACACCATCTACAAACCCAAACACATTCTTACCTGGAGTTACCAGTTGCTAACCATTGGGCTCATTGACTTTGAGTTGTATATAATTTTGAATTTAGAAAAATTGAAAAATTTAACATTTAAAAAATTACAACTATACAAAGTTATTCAGCTCAAAATTGTTATAGTGTGACTGCATCTGACTTGCATTTAAGTTGGTAGCTTTTGAGGCTTTTTTCCCAGCATAGATACAAAAATAGGATTTTCAAATCCAGTTCCCTAAACCCTACGTTAAAACTGTGAATCCCGTCTTTTAGGTAGCTGTGACACCTCTTCTTTCTCAAAAGACACCTGTGGAAATGGGTCTGATGTTGCCCTCACGCTCATCCCTGCTGCAGGCATATACAGGGTCTGGTGTTGGGACTCAAAGGGCCTTATAAAAAGAGTGGGTGAAATCAAAGCCAGTGGTGTGCTCAGGAGAAACAAAACTCATGTTCTCTGAGGATATATACAAATTACTTAAATTTATATATGTTAGGTACTAAACACTGACATTCTTTGTACGGTCAAGGACTTTTATAGGGAATTTTTAGGATTCATATTCACAAATAAAATTAGAATTTCTTATTCATGAACTGAAATTGTATGATGGAAGGATGGCAGTTAATCAGCGAGTCATGATTTATGTATTATTTATTAAGGATAAGAGTTAACAAAAGAAAATAATTTTCCAGGCAATTAATTACCTAGGTTCCTCCCAGACCATGGTGAACAGCCAGGCAGTGTTGAAAATGTGGACTATTATCCTTCCTAAACATGCATTTGTGTCATTCATCAAGTACATTTTACTTAAGGGAAATGACATAAATAGACTTTTTTCTTGTGATTTGGGTAGGAAAAGGCCATGTTTGATTTGGAGGGTTAATTGAACTTGACTTTTTCAGTTGCTCAGAAAAATAATCACTTCTCGTTATGTTAAATACAAAATAAATGCAACACTATTTCATGGCAAACATAGTTCCCGTTGATTTTACCCATTTGAACATAGGCTGATTCAGTTAGAAGCTGTTTTATCGCCATTAAAATAAGCCATTTAGAAAGCAATGCCTTGTCTGCACCAATTATTCCTTTTTTTCCTTAGCTACCACACTCAAAGATAATAGTAATAAAAATAAGATTATGAAGGCACAGATGTCTGAGAGGAAGAAGGTGTGGCAAAGAGAAAACTTAGCATACATTATGCAACTTTGAACTTTGAACCAAGGAACTTCGAAGCTTGACCTTGAGCTGCCAGCATTGCCTTCTAGGACGGAAGACACTGCAGCCTGTGTCTGTTGACAGAACTGTAGTTCTCCAGACAGTCACTCAATGGGCTGCAAAGACCAATAGGATCTATCCCTCACTGGGTCTAAATGGGAGAGGCACAGCTGAGACAAAAGGGAAACTCCAGCCCAAACACTGAGGGCCTGCTCCAAATGTCTCCAAATTGACATAGCACACACTCACTCACTTGAACACCTCAATGGCTTTTAGGGTGACTATTACCACAGTCAATTTTAGAAGCTCTTCGGCCTCCAGAAAACCTTGCACCCTTTGCCAGTCACTCTCCCACAAGGTCCCCACAGTTTTGAAAGGATTCAGATGCTGAGAGAAAAATGAGTAAAGGGTGTAAAAAGTCACAGGTAAGCCTGCAAAATACCCACAGTGTACATCTCAGGTGGGAGAACAGTCTTTAGCAGTAGCCGGAAGAATTTAACCCCTCCTGTAAGCCACTGTCAACCTGACTTCAAGATACCGAGGTGCTTCGATTGGTAGCAATTTTGCCTCTTAACTCCTTAAAAAAAAAAAAAATATGTATATATATATATGTGTGTATATATATATATGGAATTTCACCTTCTTAAATCAGATAAATGTTAATTTAATCAAAACCAAATTAAAATAATTTAATTTTATATACCAAATTAGCAGTGTTTTCAAAATATTCACCCTCAGTACTTGGAGAGTATGTTAAGAAACAAGACTAGATACACTGTGATCTTAATTATAAAAGAGAAACAAAGGTATTGAATAGAAAGAATTCAGAATTCCCCTGAAATTACATCTTGATAAATATTTTGAGTCCCTTCAGCTCCATAAAAGTGTTGCTTTCCAGGCCTGGGGATTTAGCTCAGTGGTCCCACTGCCTGCCTCCCAAGTGCAAGGTCCCAAGTTTGATCCCCGCTACAAAAAAAAAAAAAAGTGTTGCTTTCCAAATATGTATTTGGATTTTTTTCTACATACAGTTTGCCTTAGAGAAACTTGTTTCTCATCTCTCCAGCCTTCATTTGGGGGAGGGAGGGTCCCTGCCACTTCTCCTCTTTTACCCACAGGAATGTCTTAAATTTATACTTTAATGTTTGGTGTGTTTCAGGGTCCTATGCTCTGGGTAACTCTGTAAAACACCATCATGGTGCATCTCAGGTGGAGAGAACTTTTTGCAGCAGTAGCCACAAGAATGACCAATTCTGTAGGCCACTGACAACCTGGTTCTTAGTTGGGTACCAGTTTTGCTTCTAGCTCCTTATGGAATTTTATTTTCTTATATGAGATACATATTAATTTTATTGGTTGTTAGGTAAGGATTATCTTGTTCTTTGAGCTGCATGCCTGTGGAAAACAGATGTTTGCCTTCAGTGGAGGCCCTGAAAATTCTCCCAGAGCATCTATCTGGACATCCCTCCGTGGGAGTAAGTTGGATGAGCAATTGTGGTGCAGGAGGAAGATCTTGTTTAACAAGAATTTTGTGCATTTCTTGTGAAGGCTCAGTGACCTTTAAGATTTGCCAAGGAACAGAAACTAATTTATTTAAAAAAACACTTAAAAAATTCTGCAGAACATGGGCACGACTAGCTTACATCTTATTGGGTATTTATAATCAACCTTCTTGGTTATTAGACTCATTAGCAAATTCTTCCTGGCCCAGTTAGAATTCCCTTACTTAACTTTATTCAAAGGAAATGTTTTTTCTGGAAAAAGATTCCCTGGCCCTCTACTCAAGTAAGAAGGTCCTTTTAAGGATGTTCCTTAAAGTCCCACTGAATGAATCATGACCAGAACTGGCATTTACAGAGCTTTTTTTCTTTTCTTTTTTTCTCCCCAGTACTGGAGATTGAACCCACTGCCTTCTCACTGAGCTATATTCCCAGGCCTTTTTATTTTTAAAACCGTTTGCTTGTTTAGTTTATTTTAAGGCAGGATCTTGCTAAGTCACTAAATGGTCCAGGCTGGCCTTGAACGCGAGAGCCTCCCACCTCAGTCCAGCTTACTTATTGCATGTTCTGGTCACTTTGCAGGTATCACTTCCTTTCATTCCACAACCTCCTTAGGCTACTGTTGGCCAATTTAAAAAGCAGTCAAAGAAAGGCATGCATCTCTGACTTGGAGGGGAGAGGTGCTTGCACATGGAACTCTACTCCTGAGCTACACCGCCTGGCTCTTCTGTTTTCAAACAGCAGATGCATTGAGAAAGGAGTGAAAACAAAAATCATCCATGAGTTTTTAAAAGCATCTCCAAAAGAGTGTGTGGAGACAGGAGAGAAAGCCTTGTGAAAACCAACCCAATGAGGACTGGTGGAGGAGAGGACAGTCAGAAATCCCAATACTTTTTTAGGGTTTAGGCTGAAGAAAAAACAGGAGAAGAAAGGGGAGGGGCAAGAAGCTTGGAGGAATAGTTCCAGGAAGTCCTGTCTGTCTGGATGCTTAGTGAGCACAGAGAAGTACAGGCGGCTGAAGTTTGGCATAACGTACACGCAAGTGTCAGCTCTCAATCTCTGTTTCCATATATTGTCTAGTTGTAGAATAGTGTCCCCAGACAGGTGAAGAATCTTAGGTGATTTTCGTTTGACTGAGCCCTGTTTGGCTGGTTTTTGTGTTGCTAAGTGAATGATGCAAATTGATGGGATTTGCCAAAGAAGAATGTGAGGGGAAGAGGAGCCAGCTAGAAAGTCCAGAGAGGACTGTTTGGGGTTGGGAGGTGAGCGGGCCTGCAGCCTCTGGAGGAAAACTAGAGGGAAAAGGGGGCGATTTACCCACTGTCCATGTTACTGAGGTATGATGGACAAAACTGCATATAATTAAAGGGCATAACATTTTAATATATGTATACACTGTGAAATGATTAACACAATCAAGCTCATTGGCATAGCTACCACCTCATGTCATTATTTGTGTGTGATGGGAACACTTAAAATCTTTCACAGCCAATTCCAAGTACACAATGCATCACTAACTACAGTTATGCTGTACATTTCTTCTCCAGAACTTGTAACTGAAAATGTGTATACCTTTTTGGCCACCTCCATTTCTCCCACCCCACCCCTCAGGCCCTAGCTGCCAACTTCTTCTGTGTGTTTGAGTCTCACTTCACTAGGGTTCATGTAGATGAGATCATTCAGTGGTTATCTTTCTGGGCCTAGTTTATTTCCATTAGCATAATGTGCTCTAAGTTCCTCTATATTGTTGCAAATGGCAAGTGTTCCTTCTTTTTTATGGCTGAATGTTATTGCATGTGCACACACAAATTTACATTTTATGTACATTTTATCTATCCATTCATGTGTAGATGGATATGTTGATTCTATATCTTGGCTATTATAAATAATGCTGCCATGAACTTGGAAGTGCAGATATTTGTTTGAGACCATGACATCTGTTCTTTTAGATATATGCTCATTAATTGAGTTTGCTAGATCATAAAGTAGTTCTATTTTCAGTTTGGTAAGGAACCTCCATACTGTTCACCATTACTGTAGACAGCTAAGTTAATAAGATATATAGTGGGCAGTTAGACAGGGCCAGGCCTGAGTCAATGTAAAAGACAAAACATTTACTGAAGGTCAACATTAAAAAAGAGAGAAATTACTGTACCCACATACTTCCTCTAGGGATGAATTGCAGTGATTAATATTTTAAATAGACATCAATCACCTTAAGTGGGGGCCAAAATCTCCCTAGCCCATTTCCTTTCTGGAAAATCCTTACTTATTCCATACATGCTTCCTATGTGACTTGTTTCCCCATTTGATCCCCATTTAATCAATAATATCTAAGTGATAATACTTGTAATCTTATTGATTGATCATAGTTTTTTTTCCACCTCTTATCAACCTTGTGATTTTCCATTGAACCTTACTAGTTAACTGTAGTTTTGTCCACCTTGAACCTGCTTCACCTCATGACTTTGCTCAAAATGTCACAGGAAATACTACCAGAGATGAAATATGAAATATGATATCTCCCAACCTGTTAGCTGTATGATATGCTGAGTTTTTGTTATCTAAAAATCAAAGAATGAATTTTAGGAACAAAGGAGGTTAAGAGTAGGAAGATATTTATTGATAGGAAAGCTCCTGAGGGGCAGGAGGGGTCCCAAGTGTGTAGCCAGGGATGCCACTTTACAGAGGAGTTTTATAGGGTAAAACCCATTTGGGTACAGTGTGGGCCATAGCCATGATCATCCAATAAAGTTACAAGTATACTCACTTAGGTAACAGTGGTCCAATTAGGAAACAAGTCACATAACAAGCGTGGATGGAAAGAACAAAGATATCTGCTTCTAGGAAGTGGTGGGTCCAGAGGTCTCTGGTCACCCATGGGTGTGGCTGATGGCTATCTAGACTTCATTAGGCCCAGTGTTTGTTCTTCGAAGAAGCATGTAGGTTGGATCATCTAGTCTTTATCTTGAGGTCTGGTTTTCAGCCCATGTGACTCCCATCACCACTGTGGTGTGTTTCACCTTTGTCCTGACCTTCTTGAGGACTCACCTCATCTGACTGCCTATAATATTTCTACCTAGCTCATCTATCTAGAATAAAAACATTCTTGAGAAGTGAGGTGGATGGACAACCCACTTTTCTGGGAGTTCTCTCCTGTCTCTCTCAGGCAGGAGCTGTCTTTCCCTCCATTGTTCCTAGAATTTATTCTTCAATTTTAGAGAACATAAATTTGGTGTTTCAGATATCTAACAGATTGGGAGTTATAGTATTTCCCTTATTTAGTTTAATTTCCTTATTTAGATTATTTGTATGTCCACATATCACCATGATGGCT